GCTGCAGGGAGGGAATTAAAAGTCCTTTAAAAGAAAAGCTTACAAGAGGTTGTACAAAGCAGGAGGGAGAGACGGCTTTCCTGCCTGTAAAACTTAATTCAGAGAGGAGAGAGCGGAGTTGCTGTCTGCCAGAGAGGTGAATCACCTCAGGGGCAGGACAGAGGGGTCCTGTCACCTGCAGCAAGGGGGAGGGAGGCGAAAACACCACAAGCCTGAGGATTCATTTGCTCTCAGCACTTCACAGGTATATCCCGCGGTCGCAGGAGTGTTTCTTGACAAAATGGGTTTTCCTGTGCACTTAAGTAAACCTTTCAAATCAGGAATGCCACTTGATTCTTTAATCGTGCAGCCCTGGTTAACAAATTAATTCTGTCAATTACATATTTCATGAAACCTTTCGAGAGCCTTCCTGTTGGCTGGCTGAGGTCAGCTCTGCACGGTGACTGGGTTGTGCAGACATAGTGGTGAACCAGTCTGCTGCAAGTATAATAAATTCCCTCAATTTATGAAATCTCATTTTGTGCAAATTATGTTCTACACACTGGGTAGATCAATTTTTAAATGGAATTGCTGAGTGCACTTGACTTGAAGAGACATGCGCTTCAGCATCAGTACATTTAACAATCTAGATCTGTGCCTGAGACACCGCTGTTTCTTTGTGTATGGGGATACAATCTGATACAGTGTTTTGTCATACCAGGGGACTTCTGATAGACTTGCCTTCACTTCCACATTACAAATTATCACACAGTGAAGACAACATAGTCAATTTCTTTCAGCTTTTAGCAAGAGTCCCCTCCCCAGATCCTGAAGAGTTCATCAGTGGGCTTTATTTTTTTGGTATTTGTTCACAGTGTTTTGGCAAAAATACTGTGTGACAAATGCATGAGAAATGCACTTAATCTCTTTAACTTGGCGACACAGTGAAATTATCACCCATTTTAATTTTGCATAACTCTGCAACTTTAGTAAATTACTTCTTTCTTAAATTCTAGAGCTTGGTTTTAAATGTTGTTCCGTGATCCTCTCTTTTCTCAGGCCTGGAATGTATGCGGAACAAATACCAGTGTGATAACGGGTAGATGATAGAATTACTGACTTTGTGTCCTGTACATTCATTACAAGATCATTTATGCCTAATACTTTAATATTTCTTTAATTTTCAGGACTGCCTCAGCAAGTATGGAACTTACATTGGTGAGCATGGAAAGTACATGTTCTGAAAGATTTTTTTCTTCAACGTCAGATGAAACCGAATGTTACCTATACCCAAAGAGAATTAGAATAGAAAGTAATCAAAAAAGCGTAGAGAAACAGGAGCAGCAAAAGCTAGAGCAAAGCACACATTGTGTGAACAGATACCAGACATCACCACATGAATCTGTATATTTACCAGAAAGGCAGAACAACTGGGCATTACAAAACCAAAGTTGTGACACAAGAAAAACTTGTATGAGAAATTTTGTCCATTTTCAAACTTGTAATAATGAAGTACTGCCATGTAGTGTGTCAGAAAATAAGCTATCCAGCAAAAAATGCAGTTCTGAAAATCAGAGTACTACAGAAGATGGCATTTCATTGAATGTGCGTGGACAGCCTCTCAAAATAGAGTCACTCAGTGTGTGGAGTGATGCCAACACTTGTAAAAGTCTGCAGGTACTAAATCCACCCCAAGTGCAGCAGAACAGCAATATAGGACAAAACAATAAAAGAAATAGTGAAAATGAAATCAAACAAAATTCTTCAGTTACACCCTTAAACAGAGACTCGTTTCAGACGGAATTGTTAAATCATAAGTCTGTCTCTGATAAAAAGTGGAAAAAATACCAGCTTCTGCAAATTCCATTTTTATGTGGTACCAGTTCTGTGTTTTCACACGTAGAACATGAGAAAAATAATTTTCTGGAAAAAGTGTGTTCTATAGAAGATAAATATTTCTCCAGTAGTGAGAATGAAACCACTGCAGAAAGTAAAGAAACAAATCTTTTGTCATACACCATTCCAACATTAAAAAAAACCTTTAAAAGTATACAACCACTGGAAATCCCCAATTTTCAACTTCCTTGCATTTCAAGTAAAACAAATGGTGAAATGACATCAACTCTCTTAAAGGAGACAGACTGGAAGAATTTGCAAGCCCAGCCATCTTTGGTACAGTCTAAACGGATACACAGTGTACAAAAAATATCTGAGATAGAGAAACAAGAACTGAAAAATGATAAAAGTACTGTAAAAGCTTCGACTGTTGGTTCTGAACTTGGAGAAAATAATTGCCCACCAATTAGCAAACAAGAGCACAGTGCTTTGGCAGAAGGAGGAAGAGTCTCTGTAACTTACTTCAGAGGCAATGGCACTAATATTGAATTTAATCAGACATTTGCAGAAAATGAATTCAAAGATCAGCTGCTGGAGAATTCAGAAGGTGATGATGACCAGAAGTCAAAGATTCACATTTACATTAGTGCTAGAAATGTTCAGAATAAGAAATGTGTTAGCAGTAATGATCTTTTGAAAAGAACAGGGAGGAAGAGCAGTAATGAGAATGCAGGAACATTTCATCATATACAGACAAGTATTCCAGTAGTAACAGAAGTGCTAGAGAAAAGTAAGTTGGATATAGACTGTGGTGGGCATAAGTCCAACACTGATGTTAGTTTGTATGAAGCAAAATCACAACTCTCTACAAAAGACATACTTCATTTCAAAAGATACTTAACTAAAACTATGATATTTGAAAGGAATTGTCGTCGCACTATCACACAGAATTTTACAGTTATGAAAGTGAGTTGCAATATATTTAGAGGAAAGGAAATGTTAAAATTGAAGCTTTCATTTCAAAACATGTTGTTTGGATGGGTCAGGACATGGCCTGAATTTCCATACAAAGATATGCCCATGTGTCAGGATTACAGTGTTACACATGGGTTTCATTTTCGTGAAATATTAAACGAGCACTGTGATGCTCAAAAGTTAGTAAAGAGCAATATAAATAGGAACCTCAACAATAAAATACTCATTTGTTTGCTGGCTATTATTTCAAAGCATTTGAAGATTGAACCACTAAAGGCAATACTTGCTTCCTTTCTCAGTAGCAGAAATACATTAGAAGAAAAGTCCGTGCAAGTGGAGAAACAGCCTTTATGTGAGAGAAAACAAAGTCAGTTAAACTCATGCACAGATAAGGCTTTGAGGCAAAACACAGAATTTTATAAAAAAAATGAAACTTATCCAAGCTTTTTAAATTCCAAATCCATGGAAAGCATTGGTTTTGCCTTTCATAATGAATGCCAGAGAAGACATTTTTCTGCATCTTTAGGTGAACAAGAGTCCACCATCCTAAAACGAGGAACCCTCTTTCATGACCAAAAAAGTGGATTATGTAAGAGAAGACATGTCAGAAAGCACCACCTCTTGCCCAGGGAGAGTGAAAGGTTTAGTACCTGTTTGAGGTCAGTCAGTCACAAAAATGTTATTAAAAAGCAAATTTTAGTTGCTAAATGCGTAATCTTGTTGCAGGGTGCTTTTGATTGTTCTTCACTGGACAAGATGTATTGCTGCAATATCGCAAAAGTACAGCATCTGATAGGAGCAAATCTTGGATTTTGGAGCCACTTTCCTGCCCGTTCAGAACTGAAATTTGCAAAGGTAAATCGTAGATTTGCAAATTGGGAAATACCAGCAAAGCAGGAGAAGAAACCAAGAGAAGTGTTTAATAGTTTTTTTCATGGGAAAGTATTTAAACCTTTCCCTTTTGCTCTCTGTGAAACTAAGAAACATGAAACAATTGGATATAGAACTGTCATGACATCTACAAATGAGGTCACAGATGAAGTCATGTATACTATGAAAAAATACTCGGGTACTTCTGGTTATATAAATACTGATAGAAAAGAATATGTTAAGTCAGAAGAGTTGCAAATAAATTCTCATAATTTTCTTTCAAAAAAATTTTTCTCTGTTTTTGACACATATGAAAAAATTCCCCTTACCACTGATTCTGAAGAGTTTGACCAGTTACTAGTTGTAAACCATGACAATTCTGCCAAAAAAGGGTTATTTGAAGAAAATGCAGTCACCAGTTCAGAAAAGGTTCATAATTTGCCTGCTAAATCAAATGATGTTTTAATTCTACCTGAACAGTCAAAACCAGCTATGGAAAAACGTCATTCTTTCTCGTTACAAGATAACCAACCTGAATATTTCAAGCAAACAGATACATATAGTCCACATTTAACAAACGAAGCAAAATTAGAAAACCAAAATGCTTACTTAAATTTTGAAAATGTATTTCCTAGTTCCTTAAATGTTTATCTGTCTGGCACTTTGCCATTAGACAGCAGCTGTTTTGTCAATAATGACAGAGTAGTAAGTGAAGATGGACATTGCAGGAATTCCTCAAGTGCAGACAAACAAAAACAAAGTGAAAAAAATCCTGCTGCTACCCAGTATCCAACCACAGAAAGTCCTGCCATGGCAGATACACACTTGCCATTACAGGCTAAAGAAACGGTGCAGTTTTCCTTGCAAGGGCATACACAGACAAAGGAAACAGCCAGTTCAGAGCCAGCAGCTTTGGAACAACATCCTGAATATGTAAAAGAACAGGAAAAGATAAGCGATGAACAAATGCGTGTAACTAATGAAAGTCAATGTGAGACTGTAATGAATGACTTGATTATTTCATATTCAGAAGATGAAGCTAAAACATTAATTGCTGCAGAAGAGAAATTAGAAATGCATTTATCCGTAATAAACAATGGATGTCTTGAAGATGTAAAAGATCAGTATTTACCTTTAGAAAACAAAATAACATGTGAATTTGAACTGAAGAGAAAATTTAATTTAGTGCTAGAAGAGCTACATATGTTTCATGAAATTAGCAAGGGAAATGAAAACAATTTATCTAGTTTGGAAACAAACTCACACAACAATTATTGTGAGTTAAATAATTCCGAGGGGATAGATAAAAAAGTGACAAGTGTTTCTCAAAAAAAAAGATGTGGTGCTATAGAAGGGCAAAATATAACTGACAGTAATGAAAGCTCATTAAATGAAAAGATGTCAAATGAAAATGAAGACCAGAAAGTATCTGAGGAATGTTGTATTTCAACAGTGTCAGCTGAAGAATTGCTACATTCACCTGTTGCAGAAGGTAAGCACAAAGAGCTATTGGTTACTATGCTAATAAGAAAATTTAAATTTTATGCAGTATTTGATTTTCTGTAAAGGTGTGTTCCTCAAATAATTCCATGACAATAACAGAGTTTTCATTGGTTTGTTGAACAAAAGGTACTTGCTTGTGAATAGCCAAATGCAAAAAGCCTACACTACTAGTGCATGCCTGCACACTGTGCCATAGCAGTTGTAGCTCAGGATTCAGTCAGCCAGGCTTGCTCAAACCTGTCTTCATAAAAATGCCATTACAGATTATTTCTTTTGTCTTTGATTTCATCCTGATAAGCCCTAAAATCCCTAAAAGAGTCGAAACACTCAGTAAGGTCATTGACTCATAGAATAGTTAGGGTTGGAAAGGACCTGAAGATCATCTAGTTCAAATCCCCCTACCATAGGCGGGGATGCCTCACACTAAACCGTATCACTCAAGGCTCTGTCCAACCTGTCCTTGAACACCTCCAGGGGTGCACGTTCACAGAGAGAAAATACTCCATTAAAACTTGATATAATATTCACAAAGGAGACAACTGTTTCCTTACAACTGATGTAATAAAATCATAGAATCATAGAATAGTTTGAGCTGGAAGGGACTTTTGAAGTTCACCTTGTCCAACCCCCCGCTGCAGTGAGCAGAGACAGGCTCAAAGCCTTGTCCAACCTAACCTTGAACACTTCCAAGAACCAGTTGAATGCCGTACCTTCTTTTACAAATGGCTCCTGTATGATAATTATTCAAGCACTTTTCCAACAGTGCGCGTATTAGATTTTGTACATGAAATTCAGTTTGCAGAAGTGATGGGTTCTCACAGCTGCAGATAAAATCAGTAAGAGATATGCTTTGGTCATATTTGGTGAAATACCTGATTAAAATGCAGCCATCTCCGATTTGGCATCTGAAATAAATTTCTCAGGGAGTTGACTCTAAATTTATTAGGTGAAGATTGCAGGGGGTTTATGAAGGTAATTAGTGTTTGTGAAACAATTGGAAAAGTGTCACAGAAAAGGCCTGGAGGGAGTTCTCTTCAGTGGAGTTTTCACAGTAGAATGTGCTGCGAGTTACACCTGAGTGCCTTGTCCCAGAGAATGAAAACCTAACAGATACTGGGTAAGTTGCTCTCTAAGTGATCGCTTTACTGCTGAAGCGTGGAGTAAAGATCCAAGTGGAGGAAATTACATGTCATCAGAGGATTAAAAACTGCATCATTTCATCTATGCAGAAATCTTCCTGAGATAGCTTTTGACAAGCACCTCAGATGCACATACACCTTTTACATCAACAAGAAACACAAATTGCTAACTAAATGAAACAAACAATTACTTGTTTATGGAAAATAGTTACAATCTTAAATATATTTCTGCTTCTGTTTTAAGGCTATTTTGATACAGCTTATAGAAAGCCATACACATGGGACCCTGCTTTTTTATCCTCCATGCTTCTTAAGGAGCAAACCTGTAATTTACAGAAAGAGGGAGGTAAGAGTAATATTACACTGCTCTTTATACCACAAATACCAGTGCTAATAAACTTGTTTCTCAAACATTTGTATTTGTGACTCCTCTTTATATCTTTCTCTTTATAGCAATCACATTTTGTCTAATTGTAGGTTACTAGGAAGTTGTCCTGTCTTTGGCTTGGGTCACAGAGCAAGTCATGCAGATGCGAGGTTTTGTCCTTTGGACAGAAGAAAAGAACTCTTAACAATGTGGTGGTCCTTGTTTTGGGTTGTTTTTTTTTTTAGCCATTTTGAACAAACCTCTTTGGGCCTCCAGTCATTGTGATACAGTGAAGATACACTACCAGGAGAATGTGATTTGATATACCTTTCTTGGAAGATTTGCACTTTTGGATATGCCATAGAAAGAAATCCAGAAGGGTATTACCAATCAATTTATTAGCACTTCAGAAAGCATGATTTTCTTTTTTTTTCCCCTAACAACTTGAAAACGTTTAGTAAAACAAGGCTATTGGTTTATTTTGCAATGAAATACTAAAACATTGTAAGGAAAAGGCTATAGATAATTTCTGATTCACTAAGCCAAATCCTGATTTGCACCTCTTGCACCTCTTAAGACTGATGCATGCTTTACTGTTCTCAGAATTCAGAAAGTTGTTTCCTTCATTCAGGCCAGTCTGTGAAATGAGACTGAAAATCCTGAACATTTACAGATGACTTCTGGTGTTCTTCTTATCTATTTTATATTGAAGATATGTCATCTTTTGATAATATCTCATATACCAAATGCAGACTGCTGCAGAGAATTGTGCTCTATGTTTTTCACTGTTTATCACTATTAGTCACAGTTTATCACGGCTCTATAATGTGTTCGGGTTTTGTTGGTGTTATTTGTGTTTTGTTTGGTTTTGTTTGTTTATTTGTTTATTGTTTTTTTTTTTTGAGCGAGTGGATTCTACTTTCTGACTTTTGTAGTAGGTGCTGATATTGCTTAGAGAAAATTCAAATTCCAGAATGCTGTGTTGTGCATAACAGCACAACATAATTGATAGTAACATCTTGTTCTTGGAAGTTTTGATCAGATGGCATTGAAGCTTGCTAGATGGAAAGTTGTAGCTCCTGCAGAAGATCAGAAGATGACTGAATCTGGATTATCTTTCCTTTCTTCTTTTCCTGTTTTCATCCATAGCACCAAGGGCAAAGAAAACCAGACATTTTCTCCATAGCAGTAACTATTCCCTTCACATTGCTTCCTAATATTTTTTAAATTCCCATCTGAGCTTCCCCAGAAACCTTTGGAAGGCAGCCTTAGGAATGACTGACTTCTTTTTATCCCATGATTGCTGAGAAATCTTGCAGGTTTCTTGCTTATTTCTAAGGCATTCTATGCCTTATTTCAAGAGCTTTATCAGAAGCAACAGGTATTTAATATACTTACAGTAGAAGAAGGTGAAAAAATGCAACATTCCTCTCATCGTCATTCTCATCTGATAGGAAATAGGGAACTGCTGAGCATCTTCTTTTCTAGAAGGAGGTACATTGCTTCTTTGCTGTAATCTGTGGTTGGCAGAGACAGTTGTCACTGAACATTGTTTTAGAGATTATTCTGAATCAAGGACTATAGCTGGGTTTGTCACAGGGAGTATTATATTTACTGTACTGATAGGAGTTAATGTCAGAAGTTTTGCTGATGTGTGGCTGTCTCCCTCTATTTTTCAGTAGGATTCTAAGCCATCACATGTGCTCTTGTATGATTAGTGTTGGTTATTTGCCTTGGATATGAACACCATTTCTGCTATGGAATCCCAGCCTATTAATTTTACCAGTTTACTTGCCAAAACTCCATGGCTTAATCTAGCATATTACTCCCATAATTAGAAGATTAGGAGGTGGTGATTTTCTGCTTAATGGTACCAATGAGTTCTTTGCTTTACATCCCAGGATTTGGTCACATGAAGTGACTGTTGCCTTAGAAACTGACTGTTTTGGAAAGGAGGAGATACCTAGGTGGGACAAGAGGATTTATACTTCAGCAGTTTTACAATTAAGCATGACTGACGACTGTGCTTTCCTGGCTACATATAAACCCATAACACTTGACTGACTTTTAGTGCATGCAGTTCCTCTTCCAACTGACTCTGCCGAGTCTTACAAAAGGCATCTCAGCGTTACTATCTCATCATTGGCTTAAGAGTTTTGGGATTGTTTTTTTATCCCATAATTTAAAATTCTTGTGAAAGGCTTAGATATATATTTTTTTTTTCTCCCTTTAGTAGGATTCCAACTGAATGCTTAAGGTTCTAATGGGCTCACTATTTGATAACTTAGCTAATTGCTCAATGCTTCATCATTTCATAGAATTATGGAAAATTGAAAAGATCTTGAAAAATTTGACACCTTCTTGTGTGATTGATTATTGCTTCTGCTGGGTGATTTATTGTCCTAATCTCTAGTTTACAAGGTCATGGTCTTCAGTTCTTCCCCGCTGATTATATTATTTTATGCAAAACAGAACAGCTTCTAAAGGGTGCTGAATCATACTCCAGATTACCAGGTGGTGCATACCTTACCCAATAGGCTGGAACTGATAATCCACATCCTCCTGTCCCACTTTCTGTAAAATGAGTGGCACAGGACAAGGCATCATGATTATTATCACCAGTAGAGTGGTTCCTGGCTCTAATTTGGATTTGTACATCTAAATCCCTCAGACTAGTGGTAAGTATTAAAACATATTCCTCTCAGTATGTCTGCTCTGTCCCAAAATGGTAATGTGCAGCATACTGTATGATTTTGCCAGTCTGTTAGGAAAGTTAGGTAATGTTAGGTCAGGGATCCTTCTGATCAGAAGGAATCTAATGTTAGCATTTCGGTTTCAACCCTAAAGAAAGTCAGATGCTCTACAGCTGAACAAAATGGAAAGGAAATAGAATGCAAAGACTGAGAAGCTGCAGTTAATGTTATTTATGTAATTTTGTTGTATTTCGTATGGAATTCTGGGTTTACCTTCACTTTTTATTTCTCTTTTTTAATATAGGTTACTTTCTGTCACATGAAGTTATAAGAGTACAGCCTCTTAAAACACGCAAGGGCCCCATCAGGATTGGGCTGTCAAGAAAAGCTAGGCCCAAACAACAGCTTCATCCTTATCTGAAATGATACCGGATTCTTTTACCAGCCTTCAGATAGAACCACTCTGCTTGAAAACATCAGAAATGTTTTTATGTTCAGTGTTTTGGTTGATAGTTTGATCTTTGTGGTTTATGGTATTTTTAGACATTAATATTGCAGTGTTTGCTAGTGATTTATTTAAGAATACTCCTGTGAATACTTGATAGCAAAGGGATTTATAGTGAATGTTTACTAGTAGAAGTTTTAATGGAAATATGAAGCCCTTTTAAAGTTTATTTATTATTAATAAAATCTGACATGTATTTTTCATCTATTAAACACACAGTTGAAATTTTCTGTTGTACTCAGACGTTCTTGGAATCCTCCATGAGTTTATATGGTTTTAAAAACTTCATTAGTATTTTTAAAGCGATTTGTTACTAATGTTTTGAGAGGTGTAGGAGAGAATTTCAGGGAGCTAGGTTCAGATTACTAAATAGGAGGAATACATTGGAGGTCGTTTCTTCTGAGGAACTTTTAGTTCCATACACTCGTCTCACTAGACAAAGAAATCTCTTAAATTTCAGGGTAGAGTTGGAAAGGAGGAAACATAAATGCTTCAGACAGAATGTCTTATTCTGAGGGCACTGATTCTGCTGCACACAACATGACAGCAAAAGACCATCACATAAATTCTGGGGCTATATATCTCAAAAAAGTGGGGAAACTTGGGCTAATCTGAAGCATACAGCTATTGGTTAGGGACATCTGCTAATGATAGTTAATATACTGATATTTGCGTTATCTGATAAATCTATTTTTAACCGAACAAGAGCACAGCAAGAAATAAACATGGGTTAAGTCTGGAAAAAAAATAATCATTGAGTGTCAGAGCAAGAGTAATCCAATAACAGATATCCTGACGAAAACTTTAAATCCTCTATGCGATTGCTCAAAGGTTTTTAGAAAGTATTTTACATTGCAGTGGATGAGAATTTCCATATAGCAAGCATTACAGAATACTGACAGAGTAATGATAAGCTTCAGTACAAATAATAACACTTGGTTTCACCTGACCCCAGGAAAGCTGAGCAAGCTGAATTGATAGGGATATATGCCTATAGATAAATTATTCTTTAGAATCCATGGCAACAGTGCAAAGATTTAGCAGCAACGTTCAGAGTATGTCATATACAATAGTAAATATATCAGTATGCTTATCCTATAGGAAAGGACTATCCTATAAGCAAAGCAAATTCAGTACACAATGTGGGGTAGACGGGTGGGATGGACTTACCTTGGGACATGTTCACCACCATCAGCAGCCATCTTGGTGTCCTGGAGGGTGACTTGGCATAAAAATCAGTGGGGAGGAGCCTGTGGACTTATGACGGGTAGCAGTCCCCAAATGGCAACTGGGGGTCACTGCTTTGTCTTCCTCATACTTAATTTTGGTCCTTGTAAGCACGAGATCTTTAGATTTTATCAGTTGTAAATAAAGAGTCAAGGGATGCTGGTTTCTCAGTGTTCTGGCGGAAGTATCAGCTTACGTTTCTCTGAATCCCAGCAAGCAGCAACTGATCAAAATTTTTCAGCTAAGTGTTCTTTCTTGTGTACCTAGCACAAAACAAGGAGAGCTGCCTGTAGGCATCTGAATGTCCCCTCCAGGAGGTTTAACCTCACAACCAGGCAAAGGGTTTCTTGAGTGCTGCCCAACATGAACTGGGTTTCAGGAGTGATGTCTTACGAGTTAGCTTATATATCTCATATTTGCAATGGTTGATGTTCACAATAGGAGGATTTTTTACAGTGTGAGACCTTAGAGATCATATAGTTCCACCCTCCCTGCCATGGGCAGGAACACCTTCCACTAAACCAGGTTGCTCAAAGCCTCATCCAACCTGGCCTTGAGCACTGCTAGAGATGGGACAGCCACAGCTTCTCTGGGCAATCTGTGCCAGTGCCTCACCATGTTCACAGTAAAGACCTTATTCTTAATATCTAATCTACCTTCATGCAGTTTAAAGCCATTCCCCTTGTCTTGTCCCTTCAGCCCCTTGTAAAAAATCCCTGTGCATATTTCTTTTCAGAAAGAGCCTGGAGCCTTCTCTTCTCAGGCTGAAAAAGCTCAGCTCTCTCAGATTGTTTTCATAGGAGAAGTGCTCCAGACCTCTTCATGGCCTCCTCTAGACTTGCTCATCGGCTCCATATCCTTCTTATCTGGGGGCCCCAGGGCTGGATGCTGTACACCAGGTGATTTGCTATGTAAACTTTGGTTTGCTGGTCATGCAGCTGAAGATAGCTGCTAAGAGGAGGCTGTAATCTTAAATAACAGAGGAAGCACTGGCACTGGGAATGCAAGACTAGCCTTTGGCCAGCTTCAGCTTCCCCAGCCCCTGTGGGCTGGAAGACCTTAGGTTCTTTGTAATGCTGGAGAGAAGCATGTGAGTGTTGCCAACTGTGTACGTCAGCGGTGTAAATTGGCATTGTTCCACTGGGTTTTGAAGCTGTGCAGGTGTGTGCCAGGCAAAGACCTCGCCATGTGCCTTTGACTATTTTATTGAAGAAATGTGTATAGATTTTGAATTTTTTCATTGTAGACACAGTATCTGGTGATATGTTTTCAGATAGCTAAGCTTAGTAACGCTGACTCTAACAGAAATGCAGATGCAAAGGGCCATTATACTTTAATAATTATGCAGAAAAGCTTAAATATAATTTCCAAATAATTTTTTGTCAGCTGCTAGAACAATAGATACAGCTATGGTTTATTTTATGCAAAAGGATTCAATTATAGCCTACTAAAAGCCTTGAATTCTGTTATATGTACCAATACATGTGATTTTTTAATAACCCTAATTGAAAGTATCTTTCTTGTCTGCATTTTGAATGACTAGATGCAACGCTAACACTGCTCAGTGTGTTTTGGATAAATATTCATGATTAATAAGTGAACAAAAGGAAGATTGTTGAAGTCCACCTGCATAGTAGAAGTATAGCTATTGCGTCTTCCAGGGAATTCAATTGAAACAGGTAATGAAGCCCAGTTACACCTTCTCGTGTTGGAAGTCAGTTTCCAAACAAGAGCAGACAACAAACATTTGAGGGTAGGCATCAGAGAAAGGGCTGGAATGACTATATTGTAAAAAGTTCTTCATCAAGAAAGATGGTGCCAGGGCATTTTGTGAATATGCATTTCTGGGAAGTTTCATGTAGTTAAGGGTGAGATCAACTTTTGCTTTTACAATTCATATCCGGTTTTAATCTTAATGTTCTGCTCCCAACATGGACATCCCACCATGTTATTCCCACACACCACTGGAAAGCATACCTGCCATTGCCCCTTGCCAAATTTGCTTTATCTCCCATGTTCCTCCTGAGCCATCAGCAGAGCATTTCTAGCAGAGCATGAGGTAAACTCAAAATTAGTTTTAATAATACCAGGGACAACTGAAAGTTAATTTTGTTTGAAATTACTTCCGAGTATGATTTGAGTGAAATTCTAAATAAGGACACTAGTTGTCTGTTGACAGTCTGGGTGATAGATGAAAGGCTGACAGCTGTCTATGTGGAATGCAGCAATTTAACATTTACAAGTTATGATTAATTTCATAAGAAAAATTATTTCATCATGATTTAATAAAGTAAGCAAAGGAAACAGTCATCTTATAAAATATATGTACCATTCAATGTCTGAGTCACTGCTAAAATGGAAGAGACTAAGTATGATATCTAAAGAGAAGTGAATCTTCCATTTTGTTATTTAACATTTTCCCTCTCAAGGCCCCTTGAATTATCAAAATATTTTTAGCCAGGAGTCATAATGAAAATTCAATCCAAATTATATTCAGTGTATGCACTAAGTAAGATGCCTAGACTAATTCTCTGCTAACATACTTTCTGTCAAAGCTTAAGTATGCAAAAATATGCAAAGCCTACCAAAGAAACTTGAAAAATAAGTGCATCAGCATGGATATGGATAGCTGTATAACGTACCAGGTGTTAAAGTGTAATCAAAATGCATTCTCATTAACAGTGGCATTTTGGAGCCTCTAATGCAATATACTGGCAAGGATGTATTTTCCAGTTTGAACAGAGGTTATGACTCCACGTGGAGGGATGGAAAATGGATTGAGTTGACCTGGGAGACTCCAGCCAATACAGTAAGGTGGGCTCTAAGGTGACCTGAGTTGCCAAAGATCTTACAATTAATTTTTTACCTTTAATTCATTTATTGCTTATGACTATCACATTTAAAGAAAGCAAAATGACAGAAAAAAAAGCTTTTCAAAGACAGCAATCTTTACTTCTACACTGTAGATAAACTAATATTTTCTACTGCAGTTTTGTTTGTTTGGAGGAGTCTGCGTGAGTGAAGAGATGTGTTGTACATATGCAGCAGGCAGGGAGCTGTCCATTGGGAAAGGTAATGTCCTGTTGACTAGTCTGAAAATAGATCTTGAGTTTTATTCTTCTCTTCCATTCCAAACATTCCCACACTTTTTGGAGCAGACTTTTCCTTGAGAAAATGAGCAGTGTTTTATGTGCCATTGGAGGCAGCTCCTTGTGCCCTTACCTCATGTATCAGCTTATTCTTCTTTCTGCCTTACTTTCTTCTCTTTCCATATCTGCTTATATCCTAGAATTTGCTGAGGTTATGCAAGCATGGTGGAAAGCAACTAGAGCCAGACTTTCCTACAGTCAGCCTAGCTAGAGCAAAATGTATACGCTTGCCCTTGCCAAAGTTCACCTGTTATATGCTTGTGCAGCAGAAGTACATCATAACTGTCCAGATGTGGTGAACCACTGGTCTTGTCTGATATTTTCATGGTTGGAGATATTCCTTGGCAATGGATATGTGCTGAATTGTCTCAGTATGCCTCTCTGACCACATTTCTGTAAGCCGTGTCAACCCTGGCAGTTCTGAGTTGCGTAGCTTTGGAACAGTTAGCAGGAATGGTTGTAAAAAAGCTGGTAGTGTTAGAAATCGACAGTTTCCAGGAACCTATGGAGTGTGATGGTCAAATGAACTTGAACATGGTATTGATTCCCTGTGAGGGTGGTGAGGCACTGGCACAAGCTGCCCAGAGAAGTTGTGGATGCCCCATCCCTTAAAGTGTTCAAGGCCAGGTTAGACGGGGCTTTGAGCAACCTGGTCTAGTGGAAGGTGTCCCTCCCATGGCAGGCGGTTGGAACTGGATGGGCTTTAAGGTCCCTTCCAACCCAAACCTTTGTCTGATTCAATGATTCTGTGATTTTGGAACCAGTGTCATAAAGAGAGTGCCATGAAAGTTAAGATGTAACTCCTCTTTTTCCTCCCTATGAAATAAGTACTTGTG